TGCTGTAGGCAATCCTTCTTTGTGACCAGTTCGAATCCTAATCTCCAGTGCTTTCTTGTGGTGCTCGAATCCCTTGTCATAATCTCCAAGATGTTGAAAAACAATTCCGAGATTGCCATAATCTACTCCTTGCCCTCTTAGGTGATTTGTTTCTAAGGAGATAGCAAGTGCTTGTTGATGACATTCTTTTGCTTTACCATAGTCACCGAGAGATTGATACAAAGTACCAAGGTTACAATATGCTGCCCCTTCCCCTTGTCTATCGCCAGTTTCTTTTTTGATAGCAAGTGCCCGTTCATAACATTTTCTCGCTTCGTTGTACTTGCCAAGAAGACAATAAAGGTCACCAAGTTCGCTATTTTCGGATCCTTCGTGTTTTATGGCACCTATTTCTCTGTAGATTTCGCACGCCTTTTTGCAAACTTTTTCAGCCTGTTTCAAGTCGTTCTGAGCGCGATAAAAACACCCTAGATCACTGTATACAAACGCTTCTCCTTTTCTATCACCTTGTTCTTTACTAATAGTGAGTGCCTTTTGGTAACATTCTTTTGCCTCTCGAAATTCCCCTAGCGAAATATGAGCATCAGCGAGGATTCCGTAATCTATGCTTTCTCCCCGTTTGTTCCCGTTTCTCACACTTTCTTTGAGTGCCCTCTGTTGCAATGTCTTTGCCTTTTGAAATTCACGAAGACTGTTGTACACTTTTCCAAGCTCGCCACAGGCCTCTCCAAGGTCTTTTATTTCACCGGCCTCTTCAAAGATTGCCATTGCTTCTTCATAATGTTGTTTTGCCTGTTGGTATTCTTCGGTTTTCTTGTAGAGTTTACCGAGACAGCAAAGTGCTCTTCCTTCTTCCTTTCTTTTACCTTTTTCTTTCCAGGTTGCGAGCGCCCTTTGAAAACAGTCCTTAGCTTTAGCGTATTCGAAACGAGATAACAACAAATCACCAAGTTGGGTAAGAAGCGCTCCTTCCATTTCCTTGTTACCAGTTTTGGTTGTCAATACCAGCATTTTGTTTAGATGTTCTCCTCGGTTGATAGCCAACACGTCAAAAAAGCTAGAGAGGAGCATCACTCTCGAGTGGAATGTGAATGCTTTCTCGTATCTTTCTTTGGCTTTAACATGCTCGCCAGTAAGCCTATACACGTCACCGATTTTCTCGAGCAAACCGGCTGCACCTTCAAAATCACCAATCTGTTCGTATAGAGGAAATGCCTTCTCGCCGTTGTGGATGGCATTCTCGTAGTCGCCAACTAGAAAGAAAATTTTAAACAGATTGCGGTAGATCAGAGCGTTAAAGTTGTCCAATCTGTTCTTCTTTAACTTTGAAGAATTCTTTTGCAGAACAACCAAGCATTCACTGAACAGTTTAATGGCTTTAGTGTAATGACATGTTTGAAGCAGAAACGATGCTACTGCAATGCCAATAAAGAGGGCTTCAAGAATCTCGTCGACGGTGTCCATAGCCGTTAAAACTGTAAGCCTGGTAACCTATCATAGATTATGATAAGAAAATTAGAATTAAAAAAA